ACACACACACACACACACTCATATACACACACATACTCACACACACACATATACACACACACACACAAACACACACACACATACACACGCGCACACACACACATACACACGCGCACACACACACACACACACACACACACACACACACACACACACTATCGGAGCGACTCACTAGATGGAAGTGTATCCGGAAGTCGGATGACGTCATCACTTCTGCAGGTAGCGACCTACCATCATTATTTATCCTCGCCATCCTTATCCTATCTTTGTACGGCTCTTTTCTACTATGAACACAGTCAATTGGTCGCTTTCAATTAAGAGCAAGCGGGCTAACCCTGATTTCAGGGGTTTCCAGAAATCTTAACCGACTCCAAAAGTGGGCAATGCCCTACCTATAGGAGAAGTTTGGTTTTATTGGTGTGTATATTTGTTTGGTTATAGAGAAAACTTTCCTTGTCTTTTAAAGAAACTGAACAAGGGGCGAAAACTTTACCTTCCATTTTCTCAAAAGAGCATTTTTCGGGATAGCCCCCTTGCGCTTAAAAGCGACCAATTTAGCTTAAGATGGTCTCAAAGCTGTCTTCATGCAGCTTCTTTCACGGCTAATTCTCCCTATGTTTGAAGCGCAGATTCTGTTGCAGTGCTTGCATGTCAGTGACGTGGATCGGAGCTCTGTATTTCCGTGGTTATCCTAATCTTTATTCTTTTTAAAGAAAGAAAAGACTGGGGAAGAAAAGAGAAAGTAAGAATGGAGAGTCTGGGAAAACTTTCGGTCTTTGTAATGTGAACCATTATCATCATCATCATCCTCATCCTCATCATCATCATCATCATCATCATCATCATCATCATCATCATCATCATCATCATTGCTGTTTAAGTACGATAAGAAAAAAAAAACAACCCCAAAAGTTGATGGATACTTGAGCATTTTAAGTTTTATGACACAAAGAAGTATGTTAGGCGTGGCTTCTTTAGGAACATGATAAAAAAGATCATCATCATCATAATCATCATCGTCATCATCATCATAATCATCATCATCATCGTCGTCGTTATCATCATCATCATCATCATCAACATCACTAAAACGAACACACTGCGTCATGATATGTTCACCTTATATGACCTTATGTAGTTGCGAGCGCCGTAAAACCTCTACTAAAACAAAAACTAGAGAGGTGAGCAGAGTAAGCCTGATTCCCAGTTTGGACATCTCTGTTGACATCCACCCCTTGGCGCTCATATTATGACCTTAATATGCAGTTTCTAAATCTAGTGGTTAGGCTACCGGACTCGTAATCGTGAGGTTGTCGGTGGTCTAGTGGTTAGGCTACCTTACTCGTAATCGTGAGGTTGTCGGTGGTCTAGTGGTTAGGCTACCTTACTCGTAATCGTGAGGTTGTCGGTGGTCTAGTGGTTAGGCTACCTTA